TCTAATGGTATATAGCACTTCGCCAAACATCAAAAAGTCTTTGTAAAACAAATAGTTTTATGTAACTCTCGGAACTTATGCAACAACTTAATATGTGGATTGACTACATCCACATTCTCGTTTTGATCAGTGTTTAATTTATTCTTTTCCCTTCTAGTTTTTTTAAAAATATCTTCCCACCTCCATTTCTCTATGCACGTGAATCATGTCCGATGTACGCAATACGACTACCCTTGCATTTCAGTGCTTGCTGATAATGGCATCTGTTGTATCGACGAGTTCGACAAGATGACCGACTCCACGCGTTCGGTGCTGCATGAGGTGATGGAACAGCAGACACTCAGCATCGCAAAGGCTGGTATTCTATGCCAGTTGCACGCACGCACATCCATCTTGGCCGCGGCCAATCCGGTCGGTTCAAAGTGGGATCCGCACAAAACGATCATTGATAATATCCAGGTAAGTGAACATATTCCCCTGGTTGATTTCAGTCGTGGACGTCACTTCCATGGAGACCGGAGGCTGCGACATGATTCGTTGGTTTCACTGTAAACTAGTTCGTCGGTACGCGTAGGTATTGATATGCAGCACTGAAATGTCTTGTACGAGTTTACCGGGCTCCCTTTGTGTTCTACTGAACATCTGCTGTAGATAGTGGTCCATCTAAATGGGCCGGCGAAAGACAGAAACGAAAACGGCCACTTGAAAGTGCGCTGGTGAGAGACTTCATTTGTAATATTGAATGATGTTATCAGTCATGAAGTTAGCTGGAGCCCAATCATATTCAGTCAGCTCAAAATACGCTTGTTGACTTAACTGCAGCACAGTCCTTGCGTTGAAGGTCCCCAGATTCAATGATTGCCGAGGCTTAGGAATCTGCAATCTATTTGGTGGTAAACTAGTCACCGGGCTACTTGACAACGAACTTTGGCGAGTTTTCTGGGGGTATGTTACGGGTCGAAAGAAGCTGTAAAGGGGGAGAGTTGGGTACGGAAGACGAGTTCAATAATGGTTGGGATGTCTGAGCAGTAGCCCACTTATCACTACCCACCCTGCTCGTTGCAATTGTCGGTGCGGTCCTGATTATCCTGCGCGACGACCGATGCCGTATGGATACATTTTTTGTTTGTGTATGCATCTGAGTTTGATGGACGGGTACTGCCAGGGTGTCCAGCCAGTAAGCAGGATTTGTCAGACTCCTTAATTACCTCACGCCTATTTTCTTTGACCTCGTACTCCGGATTAGATGGCAAAGATTGTGACTATTACCAATAGCAGCAGCCTTCTTCATCTCCCTACACTTCCTTACCCATCACATCTCGCGGTCATTTCTCAGGCTCTTTGTGGCGTTTAATCACTATGCTCCATTATCCCAACCAATGCAAACGATAAGCATGAGTTTGCAACGATCCTTGTATTGTTGGTTGTAGTCTGATAACACAGATTTCGTATATGCATCTAGACCTCAGTAGTAGTCAGAGGGCACCAGGATGTGGCTGTTATTAATTCAGAAAAATAGCTATGATCGCATGCTAAACTCGTAACTTAATCAACAACACAGTCCCGAATAGGTTTGAATGGAAGCGAGAGGATTTAGGTCATAATGCCACGAAACGAATGACGCCTGAAGAGGAGGTAAGCAGTACAAGTAGCCAAGCCAAGCCAATATCGGTGATTTAAACGTTGGCAATCAAATTTGAGT